TGAATTCGGCCAGACTCTACGACTGATCTTCAAGAAACGTTCGAGTTTCCACTTGATTTTAGGGATCGTGGTTCATAGCCAACAAGTTTTTCAAATTCAGAAAGGTGTTACGTAACAAAAATGATATTTGAAAATCTGATTTAGTCAAATTCAAGTAATAGCAGCAGAGAAGGACAGAACTTAACCTTGGTTTTATTAAGTTCTCAAAAATGGAGAAAAAGGAAAGACAATGGCTAGGCTATAGCAAAGATAATTTAATTATAGCATAGGCTATAGCAAAGATAAGACAAGTAATTCATTATATTAAAACAAGTACATCAGAGGTAGAAGAAAATTTGATTGGTTTTTTCCAGTTAGTGACAAAACAGGTGAAGGTCTCAGTAAAAAATCCTTAAAAATTAAACAAAGATGGACTTAACTTGGAGATATATAAAGGTCAATCCCATGAAAATGAGGCAAATATAAATATATGTGATATGCAGTAACATATGACATACAGTAATGACAATTGCGGTCAAGAAAATGTCTGTAAGTCATAAAGGTGAAAAGATGCACTCAGAGGACCTGAAGACAATAGGAGTGGAACAATGGGAAATAGTGGCACAGATCCAACAAACATGGAAGGTAATAGTAAATGCGGCAAAGACTCACGAGGTGTAATGCCATTGATGATGTTATATGACAGTTAATGACAAATAAGCCCAATCAAATAAATATATATTTCATGCCTAATTTCACAGTCATCAAATGTCATTACTGATTATTTTGTCAAATATTGTACTATAGTACAAAAAATTGTTGCTATCAATTTAGTAAATATAGCTTAAATCAAAAACTTTATTTACTGTCAATTGACAAGATGGCTAGAGCCATTTTAAGGATATGGTCATTATATGTTGAAAAAACTGTGAATGTGTGGAACAGGCAATGACCTGATTGGTAAAAAGAGGGCATACATAAACAATAAAATGTTGGTAGTCCTATGGAGAGTATGTCCATTGACACTGCCATGTCCAGAACCACAAATGTTTAAAATAACGATATCTTGATGATTATGTATTATTTTACATGGATTGTGAAATATTCATTCCCAAAGCAAGGGGCTTCTATAATTGTAAATATATGGTTTAAAAGAGGAAGGAATTTCGAACTGGCATTTTTCCAAAACTTTTTGATTGTTGCCACTGAGACCAAAAAGACACCCTTGTATCTGCAGTCAGATGGAAAGGTAGAGAAGATGAATGAAAAGGGCAAACACCTTTCAAACATTGTATCAGAGAATAAAAGATATTTTATCAATCTGCTGTCAATGGAACCACAAACCTTTGTTGTCAACCAAATGAAATTAAGGATGAGCAACATCAACAACTGTGCTGACAAATTTTCTAGATAGTTATGGGATAATGTTGGGCTAAGTGATCTATTTTGACATTGAAACCCTCAAAAACAGTGGGAGGGCTATATCAAATTAAAGGGAATAAGTATATGTATTAGTGAATTAAGAAACATAAACATAAACAAGTTTAATTTAAAATATAAAAGATATAAATCTCAAAAGTAAAAATCTGAAGATTTTTATTGACGGAACCAAGATTCAGGTTTTTGCTTTAATCTGTCCCTTATATTATAAATTTGCAAGCAAATCAGATGATACTACAGATGTAAGAGAGATATAGAGAATCTAAAAGTTGCATTCCACAACATATCTCCTCATCTAAGACGAAAATCTTTATCGAATTGGTTTCTTGTACTCATAAAAAGTAAACCAAAATAAAAAAAAAGAACGGTTAAGATTTGGTTCCACATATAGTGTCTCTGTATATTCACTTTATGTATTTCACCCTAGCAGGTTTCACAAATAGTGCCTCTTTATATTCACTTATATGTATTTCATCCTAGCAGGAATCATCAGAGAGACTAGTACAGAAGTTCCCAGAACTTCTGTACTAGTTGTTTGTTCTGTAATAGGAATTACTGTATATTAAATTCCTATGAAAACTTGAAGAATTTCAGAATTTTACAAAAAAAAAAGAAAGTATATACAAATAATTATGGATACAACAAACAGTTAAAAAAAATTAAAGGAGAAAAAAAGATCTCATAAAACTAGAATCTGTATACAAAAATACCAGCTAGCTATATTTAACAATGTTATCAGATAAAGAAGGAATTATCTTAAAAATTCCATTGACTCTACATAATTATTCCCACATACCTTATTGAAAAAGGAACATTCTACATAAAATTTATTTTCTTATATTGGCAGTCACAGTATTATGCCTTAACTATATTGGTCATTTCAAAATAATATTGAAAAAAAAAGGATAACATTAGAAAACAATATAAAAAGAAAATTGTTGGACTGATCAATACAAATGGGATATATGAATATCCAATATAACCCCATGGAGTTTACCAAAACATGTTGAAAGAAAAACCTATCTGGAAATTCTCTCAACACCAGAGACGTTCATGAACTGGTTATGTAGTGAGGATAAATGACAACATATTGCTAAGAAGAGCCTTATATAGTAAAATTCATGAAATACCAACCAAAGGGAGGCTTCAAATGGAAAATAACACTTTTTAGATAGATTTAAAAAATATTTTAAGATAAAAATGTAGGAGAGAAGCATACAAACAATTCAGGCAATATAAATGTATGCTTCACATACAATCTCACATACACAAAGAGGTAGACAACTAAAAAGAATTAAGAAAGAAAAATAGTAGAATGAATTTTATATCAAATAAAAATGAGCATGATCATGGCAAAACTGGCATACAAAACTTTATAATATCTTGTAAACTTTATAAAATCTGTAAAATTTGGCTTGAATTTTGACAACACAGGAAAGTGTATGATGATCCACTATAATAGAAAGTCTTGTCTTGCAGCTATTTAAGCATGTTGAGTTTTTAGTCCACTACATGATTCAACTCTAGTTTCAACATGTTTAAGGACAACTCCAAAATTAACACCAAAAATCAAGATCAAAAATAAAAATAAAAATCAGACTCTTTGTGTTTTATGATTTAGTCTATAGGGAAAGGGTGAAATGTTTCCTATTTGGAGTGATAGTAAGGACATTGCTGATAAAAAAATTTATACTAATTCTTGTGGATAATGTACACAATTCATGCTTGTTGCAAAATGCACTGTTTTAAAAAAATAAGAGTTCTGAAATTTTAAATTAAAAATGTGCTATTATGTAGTAAGATTACTATTTTTAAAGAAGTAGGTATATAGTAAAATAAGGCCAAATTACTCTAGCAATAAGTGTAAACAAATGCATTTTTCAAGCTAGAATAAACATCCAAGGGTAGGGCACAAAACAAGCATACATTTGTCCATCTGAAGTATCCAACTGACTTTCACTTCACATTAATGCATAGAATGTTTTCAACAGATACCTTTGTGTTCTCTCATCTAATATTTCACAACACATTTGTTTGTGTTTCTTATTGTGAGACTAAAATCTTTGGTTAAATAAAACAGTTTTAGTTAGATATTAGACCTGGTTTCAATAGTTTTTTTTAGGTGCTTACAGGAAATTTTAGCTGTATTTACATAATTATTTTGTTAACTAGTTTGTCTATCTAAATATACTTTTGACTGCAAGATAATAACACAACTTTTATATGGTTTACTTTTTGATACAGTTTTTTTTATATAGTTTGCTTTGCAGTAGATTACTTTTTATGTAAGATGTACATTTTTAAAATTATCAATCAGGCACAAAAAATACACTGTTTTGAAAGGCAATAACAAAAATATTGTTGATAATTGAAATGAACATTATAATGATAATGAAATTTAATGAGAAGTGACACTTGAATATTGATTTGAAAATCAATATTGCAAGATACTTGACAAAGAACAAGGCAGTGGTACAGAAATCTGATTTCACATGTTGATTAAGTATCTAGAAGATTTTCAAATCCACCTAAGTAAATGGTTAGCAAAAGAGAAAATATTTGAGGTCCGGCTTGAACAAAAACTCAGATTTTAGGGTATTATTAGGAAGCAGTCATTAGTGTATTTTGCTATAGTTTCCAAATTTACTGGAGGAATGTCATAATATACCTTATAATAGTTTGTTGATTCTTTATTGACCATATCTTTTTAGCTGAAGAACTGTTTTTGGAGGTTCTTGTTTCAATTCACTTGTGTCATTATCACTTCATCTGTTTCCAGATGCACTAAATAGGGTAGTTTGTCAGAAATCAACAAAAAAAGAGTATAGGTAAAACTAAGAGATAACAAGTAATTATTTCATTAATAAATATATAATTAGATAAATCACATTTATTACAATTCTTTGTAATCTGATAAATATTCCCTGAAAAAATCTATTTTTAACTATAATCTGAATTCCATGTTAATAAACAAGCCATTACCTAACAATTAAATATTGTTTGTTTATTTTTCATTGAAACTATCCTACTCTTGCAACAAAATTAACATGTGAACAAATGTAAATATAGAAGTGAGTGCATGTAATGGGTTTTGTTTTGTTGCACTGCCTACACAATATTTGACTATAAGACGATTATTTTTAGATTAAAAATCCATAAATTGCTACACAAGAATGACCAACATTCTTTTTTTCTCTTTTTGGCTTTTAGAAATAAAGAAAATGGCTAATACAGCATTACTTACAGTACAAGACAGGTAACTAATTGAAAACAAACCATAGTTTAAAAAATAGGCAAAAAGTATGAGATTCTGTATTATAACTCGTTAAACAACAAAATTTTTATTTATATCATGTCCGAACGTCTGAAGAGCTCGTGTTACCTCTTACCTACCTATCAACGTTGGTGGATATAAAACCCAAAACGAAATAGACTGAAGTAGGACACAATCAATACCAGCATGTAATATCAATTAAAGGACATTTCCAAGTGAAAATTATTATAAATAGATTTAAAAGTTAAATAATTCTTGAAGGATAGATGCAACAGCTATACATACGTAATTACAAAAATAAACTTACACACAAATATGGACGCCAGGAGACCAACCAGCGAAACTTGTGCTAACGGGAGGCATCAAAATGTTTTACAAACACGCAAGTCTGTTATCGAATGCACTTTTACGTTCACAGATAGAGAGTTAGTGTTTATATCACACAATACAAATGAAATACTTAATATCACAATTTTTTATAAAATTTGGCGTTAATACATGTATTTTGCGGCACCACAAACTTATTTTAACTTATTGATCCATCGTTACGTGGCAGCGCTGCTTGCTAAAAACCAACAACGATAAATGGCCGATCTGACACGATCGAGAACGAATACGAGACAAACGGACTGGTTTGCTATCTTCGGTAGGCGACAGTGGCCTCGACCTGTTTGGCGACGTTGCCAGGTACTTCGATCGCATAGTTTTTATTATAAAAAAAAATAGAACAGGATTTGCAATAAACAGAGGAAAGCAAACGAAAACTTAAAAATCCTTTGAACATGGAAAATATTAATGAAGAAGGTGAATTACGAAAACTTCAATATAAAAATATTTTTAATAAAAATCAGCATTAAAATACAAAGACATTTATTGAGTAAAATGTGCCAAGGTTTTTAGGGCATTTCTATTTATATCTTCAGCGGATTTAATACTTTTTAGGGAGACTTTTTCATCAGATCATCGCATCGCACTGGATTTTAGGAACGAAATACGAATATCCAGGACAATTTCGTAATATCGAAATATCCAGATTGTATAGAGTGATTCGTGAAATGTGAATGGCTGATACTTGAATTTTCTACTATTATCTGCAATTGTTAAAGATACCTATACAGGTTTAACTTTTGTAAAAAATATTCCAGACAAAAAAACATAGATATTCATTAATAGACATTTCGTCTTGAAGTGTATAAGGAGACAAGGCGAAAAGACCTGGTTCGTTCGGAAAAATATTCCCATGAGATTTGTTTGCAGAATCACGTTCATGAGATACCCCAAAACAAAGTTCAAGAGGTCGCCCAGGCGAAAAGTTATTTAAATTTTTTTAAACAAATTTTCACAATTTTTTTTTTAACGAACCTGAGCATTTTGCCTTTTTTAAAGTAGTTTTTAAGTAGTACAATAAATTTATTCTACGATAAATATGGAAACAGGAAAGAAGTAATAAAGGTAAAATTAGAATAACTATAACATCTAAGATATATGTTGCAATTTGCACCCTTAGGATACCTATTAAACTAAGGGTATCTAGGAATAAATAATAAGAAGGGTATGAGTAATCGGACAAGCTACCGAAGTTATTAAAAATATATAAAATAATATATTATAAATAAAAGCAAATTTTTATTGCGGTACGGCCTCTTTTTCAATATACTTTTATACTATTAAAATAGATGTGGCCTCAACAGGCTTGTAAATTAAAGTTGGTCAGGACTAAATTTAGGATTTTATGATGGGCAGGATATCTAGCAAGATCACAACAGAACAACTCTCCTAGACGAATCCTTATGTCACAGCCAGTGGGAAGTAGACGAAGAGGTATGTCAAAGTATAGATGGGAGGGATGGTGCAACAAACCGACAATGGAGAGGAGTGACTGAATATATAGGGTGTCCCATTAAAGAAAACATGTTTCTTTCTCCCTGATAATATGTCCTCTAGATAAGAAAATAATTTTTAATTGATATCATCGATAATACAGGGGTGGATACACAGGGTTGGCAAAAAGGGAAATCCCCCCCAAGAAAGTTAAAAATGATTGGTTGGTGTTTCGTTGGAAGTCCCCCCGCCAAGTTGGAAGTTCCACCCCAAGGCAAATGAAAAAGTCTGCCAGTGCTTTAATAACGGATATATCTTACCTCGATGAATTAAGGCCGCATCCTCATGTATTATTATTAAATACATAGTCAGTAATTTTCAGTCTGCACCTGTATGTGTATTATTATTAAATAGTCGGTAATTTGAATATTCAGTAAGAAGTTTGTATGGGCCACAAACCTTTCATTTTTCATATTGTTAAGTGTGTATAACACTTCTTAATTTGTTAATTTTTGGGCCACTCTCCACTTCTTCTATAGTTATTGATTTCCTTCTTTCATCTTGAGGGTCTTTTTTTATGACACTGTTGTTTTAATTCTAACTTACTTATTTGAAGTATTCTGTTTTACTGTTTGTTCTTTACGTTTTGTTCTTCTGTTCCAAGTATTTCCGCATTTATTCTGTTCTCAATGTTTAAGTTATTTTCTTTGTCATACCACACTTGAGTGCAAAATAATCGATTCAAAAGCAATATTTAAGATTACACCTTCTGGTTCAATGTAAGAAGTATAAAAATAAAAAGATGTAATGTGCAAACATTAACTTTATTATTGAACTTCCAAAAAACTGTTATTGCATTATTTGGAAGACGCATTATAAAAATAATATGCAATATGAACAGAGTTTCTTAAATATACATCATTGGAACTAACCCTACAAAAACGTTATTAATGGAGAAATCACCAACTACAAAATGAATTTCATTATTTTTTAGTATTTGATATTACCACCCCTACTCCTAATTACTTTCCAATCGATTTCGCATGGATCGTATGACTTTTCTAATAAATTCTTAAGGCATTGCTTCCCATTCACCACTGAGCGCAGCTCTCAATTAAATTATGCTTCTTGGTGCATGATTTCTGTCCCGGACCCTTCGTTTAAGCTCATCCCAAACATGCTCTAGATTTATGTCCGGGCTCAACGCAGGCCAATTTATTGTAGGTATACTTATCTCAGTCAGATAGGTGGTGGTGACTCGTGCAGTCATCGTGCATTAAAATAAAGGCATCACCAATAAATCCAGCGTATGGAACCACATGTTCCTCCAAAATGTCTTTGATGTAAACCGCCGATTCGCCGTTAAACCCCCTCCACGTCCTCCACAAGGCAAGAAAATCAACTCGGTCCAACAATTTTATTATTATTGGTTATTGACCATACACTCGGGACACAGCAGAAATACTTAAATTTAGCCCATTTGCCAAGGCCCTGTGGATCAGTACTTCTCACAATAATGCTACTGCTTTGAGATATTAGTGGTTTGTTATGGAAATTGATGCGTACGATGTTAACCGAACGCGTTAAGTCGGTGCGTGTCGATTTCAATGAGTCAAATTCTGATCCCGACTCTACGTGTTTATTGTAACGCGTGATTTATTTGTAATACGTCATCCGATCCATCATAAAACAAAACTTTTTTAAAACTCAATAATGAGGTTGACGATTTTACACTAAATATTTTTAAAGTTACACTTTTTAGATTGAAACAAGAGACGCATTTTCGCAAAATAAGTTTGAGTCGATTGATTTATTTGTTTTGAATTTCTCCCGTTTAAATTGTTTCAGAATATAGGATCATCCGACGACCATCATGCATTCCTAAACAGAATCGTGATTTATTGCTAAATGCTATATTACGCCATTCTGCCACCCAATGCTGCCGTTCTCTGCACCAATTCAAACGTTGATGACAGTGGTCCGCAGTCAAAGGAAGTACTAGTCGTGGTCCACCAGTCAAAAGGCTATACTATACACGGTATAGTGTACGCATACTAGGTCTATCTACTACTCCAAACCATTGGTCAGCAATTTGATGCGTAGTAGCAAAACGGTTCCGCAGAACCAGTAATCTAAAGCACCTATCTTGACAGTCTGTGGTATGCATCGGTTGACCAATTGGTCTTCTCCGTGTTCCTCTACCTTTGTTTGTCCACACATGACAGACACGAATAACCGTCATTGCCGTACAATTAATACGACAGCCAATTTCGCGATACGACAAACCCATATGTCTACCTTTGGTGGTAATTTTGGTGTCTTCGAACTCGAGGCATTTTCTTACTCTGGATACAATTATACTGAGGAATAATAACTAAAAATTTATATGCGAACCGCTTTTCACAAATCGGTCACTTCACAAAAAAAATTAAAGATAAAACTTTATTTTTACAAAAAGTGGAATAGATAAAACATTGGTATTGTTATCATAGCAAGTTTTAAATATAGTCATTCTGTTGCCAAAAAATCAAGTTCAAGAACTTATTACTTCTAGGTGTAACACTTCTAATGTCACTGAGTATATATCTACAAGTATTCTTTAATTCCATTAAAAAATATTTTATCTTTTGTCTATGACAGGACACAAAGGATCGCAGCCACTGAATCCTCGTTGAGCCTGTTTCTTTGTTTCCTCATAGTCAAGCTGAATCTGAAGAAGCACCTTTCTGCTGGGACGGAAGTAGATGAAATTGACATGATATCCTTGGCCAAACGAGCCATGGCAGAAAACTTATCCTGATTGTCTTTCCACCAAGAGAAGATGCTCACGTTTCAGCCTTCTCGTTCTTCTTCTAGATATCGATTCAGTTCCACTCGAAAACGCACCATTTTCTTGTACAGTGACAAAATCTTGAGATCGTCCTCACCACTCTAGGACCCAGAAGAAGATCAAACTTCTTAGATTGTTTGTCTTATTGTAGTATTTAATAATCTTATTTCTTGCTACTATAAAAGAGTTTTGTACATGACCACACTGGGAAGAGTGACATACTTTTCCTAGTAAGTCTGTAACTGTTTTGCAGTTTTTTAAAAAAACCTTTTTTTGGTTTTAGTAAATCCCACTACGCTTCTTGGATTCAGAATGGAGTTAATTTTGAATTACTGATTCAGAAGAAAGTAGGGAAAGAAAGTTCTTTTTATTTATCACATTCACGGTTAGATTCAAAGGTACCATCATCTGGTGTCGTCGCCGTAATGTAGGTGGCGGTTTATTAGGAGAACCTAAACAAAAACAATTTTTTGCATACCAGACGTGCATCGCAATAAATCAAAAAGAATTGTCAAAAACATTTTAAAATTTTGTCTAATTCTAAATGTATTAATTATGTTTCATTGATGCGAATTATAACTACAGAAAACCTTTTAATTTCCATAAATTTTTACGTTGCAAACATAATGCAGATATTTGTATAACTTTAATTTTACCAAATCATTTCGATAATATACACCAGTCTATCTGGGAGAAAAACTGATTTCACGTAAAAATCTTATACAGATATTTGAAGGTGCTAAGAGGTATATGAGGGGTAGAGAATGAAAAGCCGTAAAGACGTACAGCAATTTTGCTTTGTTTTTGCAGTTTAGAGAAAAATGGTTTAAATAAAAAATACATAAAGAATTCACCAATATAGTTGCAAAAAAACACTCAATTTTGCAATAATTTATAAATGATAATAACTTTATTATTTGCATAATAACATATAATATAGCTAGTTGAAATTATGGCAGTTAACAAGATAGTGTTAAATTTCAAATAGATCGATAGAAAGGGTTCATCTTTCTTTCTTCTTCTAGTTCCATGACCGTTATCGATCGTTGGATATCATGTTGGCTACCATATTCGCTATCGTGACCTTATTGACAGCAGCTCTAAATAACGATGTAGTTGATTTTCCATACCATTGCCTTAGATTTTTCAGCCATGATGTTCTTCTTCTACCAGGACCACGATTACCTTGGATCTTTCCCTGAATGATCAGATGTAAAATATCATATTTTTCAGGGTGTCTCATAATATGACCGAAGTATTCCAGCTTGCGTTTCTTTATTATTCATCTTTAGGGTATGTTAAAAAACCGCAACATTTTACTAAATTTGTTATTAAAAAACAACTTGAAAAAGGGCTGACTTTTAGCTTTGACATTTTTTATGTCAGATGCTTGTAAGTGAACAGCTCTACGGCTTCAAGAATTTCTGATTAGCTACCCTTCACAAACCTTTTAGAAACTTTAAATATATTTATCAGATTTTTACGTGAAATCAGTGATTTTTTCCCAGTTTTTCACATTAGAATAATCTACCCTAGTCAAGAAAAAAAAGCTGAAAAAATCTTGTACAGGTATTTAAAATTTCTTATATGATTGGTAGCTGATGACAATTATGTGAAGATGTATAACTAATTTTGCGTTGTCCTTTTATTGAACAATCATTAAACAAGTTTTTGCGTGTAATACGTTTTTTATACATTTTAGAGAAAATTGGTTAAATTGATAGTTTCAAAATTACAATACATAAAGAATTGACCCAGATAATTTCAAAACACATATTTTTGCAGTAATTTATAAATGTTAATAACTTTGTTTTTTGCATAATGACATGTAATAGTATATAACTATTTAAAATTATGGCAGTTAATGAGTTATTAAAGTGAGCTAAATGTCATACGAATCGACCAAATAGTTTATAAGTTATTCAGTTATTTATTCCCGAGACCGAATATTTAAACAATATTAAACAGTCACTATATTCGCAATCGATTCTTTGAGGTTTTGTTTTTAAGGTATTTTAAAAAGACCTCAAGATTTTATTAAATTTATTATTAAAAAACAGTTTTAAGAAGGGGACTTTTTAGCTTAAAACATAATAACTTTATAATAACATTTTTTATGTCATACACTTGTATGTAAACTCAATGAATAGCTGATAAAAAAATAAGCTTAAAAAACAGAACATTCTATGACCAATAGGAAATTAGATAACATTTTTTTAAACTATATATACATTGTTTATTAACATTAAGATCAGAACCCTGCAAATTGTAAAAGAAGATCTAAATTTTATGATCCAACTTATAGATAGCATACACAGTGAAGAAGTAAAAAGTTATAATCCGTTAAAATGATGGTACTCATAAAACACAACCACGTACAAGTGGAGGGAAGAATTGTCCGCCGCAGAATCTCAGTTTGTTTCTTGTTATTGGTCATAGAAGGTTCTGTTTTTTTTTAAAGAGCATGATTTTTCACTAGTTTTTCATTGAGCCTACTTACAACCGTGTGACATAAAAAATAAAGTTATTATAAATGTTAAGGAGCTAATAAGTCAGCCATTTTACAAATTGTTTTTAATAACAATTTTAATAAAATTTTAGAAGTATTTACAAATGAAGCCTCATAGAATAAATTGCGATTTACAAACAACCTCTAGAGTGACTGTTTGTGCAGGTACAGTTGTTTAAATAATCGCTCTCCGGGATAAACAAATTGAATAACTTATAAACTAATTGGTTGATCTGTTTGAAATTTGGCGTACTTTGATAATAACTGCCACAATTCTGATTTTATAAGTTATTCAATTTGGATACAGGGTACATTGTCCGGACCTGCTGACTTATTTTTTAGTTCTGCAATGGTATCTTCTATCTCCGATTTAAGGATTGAAAGTCCTGTTTCTCCTTCTCCATATAAGTGATCATCAGTCCTGTCAGATGCAAATAATTTTTCTATGTATGATTTCCATGTTTCTAAGATAGTTGATGGCTCCGAGATAAGATTTCCATCGCTATCATTTATGCTGTTGGGTACTTATTGAATTTCCTCTTGTTTGTCATTGATTTTATTTTTTTGTGCATATTGTAACTGTCGTATTTCCGTTCGTATTGTTCTATTTCCCTGCATTCGTTGTAAAACCATTTTTCTTTGGCTTCTCGAATTTTCGTTCTTGTGTTTTTGTGAATCTGCTGGTGATTTTCTTCATTTTATTCTTAAATTTACGTCTTTCATCCATCATATCCATTATCTCATCAGACATTCATTCTTTCTTCTTCCTGTCACGCTTTAATAAAGTCGCGCATGTTGTTTGGATTGCTTCCCTCGATTTATCCCATCTCTCTATTATGTCCGACGTGTTCTCGTTAATGTGGTTTATTTTCTTTCCTAGTTGTTCTCGTACTTTTATTTCGGTTTCTGGATATGACCATTCTGCATACCAACAGATTGTGGTACGTAGGCAAATCGGCACCAGGGTACGTTTTTGATGATTTTATCATGTTTTTATGGTACTGCTGTATAATCTATCTGATTCCTTATGGTGTTATCAGGTGAGTCAGCGGGGGATTTCCATGTGTAAAGTCGACGTTTGGAGAGCTTGAAGAGTGTATTACTTAACAGCAGGTTATATTCCTGGCAGAAGCATATAAGTCTATCACCTCTATCCCCTAGGCTGAAGTTTGCCACGATCTCATTTACCTTGCCTCTGCCAACTTTTGCATTGAAATCTCCCATCACTATTGTTACTTCATGTTTTTTTGTCATTTTCATCAGGCATCCCAGTTGTTCGTAGAATTCTTCGCTGGTTGTCTCATCTTTATCTGCCGTTGGCGCGTATACCTGTAATATGTTAATATCCACCGGTGTTGCTCGAATTCGTAAAAGCATTATTCCATCTGAATGGGGAGTGAAAGATTTTACTGCCAAATTAATATGTGGGGCAACTATTATTGCGGTGCCGTTTCTGTGATGTGTTGTGTTGTTACCAGCATAGTAAACTTTATATCCTAGTATATCGCATTGTCCAGAGTTCTGCCAGTGTGTTTCACTAATTCCCAATATATCAATTTTTAATCTTTTCATCTCTTTCACAATGTTATGTGTTTTGCTGCTCTCGTACATACTTCGTACATTCCAAGTTCCAATCCTTAGGTGTTCAGGACTTGCTTCCTTTTTTAGGCCATAGGGATTTCGCTGGCTGATGACCTGGGAGGCCCTACTATTTGGTTGTGTGCATCCTCTCCTGCCGGGTCTTGGGATCCGATCACCATCAGTAATGCTTTTGTTATCGTAGTATATTGCCATGATAACTATTCTAGGAAATTCTTATGGGGTGGTTTTCCGTTGCCTTCCCCATCGCAGTACCACAACCATTCAAACTGCTCCAGTCATGCTTGTGGTAGTCCAGTTTCAAGCCGATCAGGATCATTTCATCTGCGCCTTGAGTTGGTACTGATGATCGCTGCTGCCCTTCATCAGTACTTCAAAATTCTTTACAATGTAATATTCAATGTTATCAAAGTTGTCAGAGCTTGTTGTTTTTTCACAGAAAGAGTTTGTACAATTTTAGTGAACAATCGCTAACTTCTAAACCACAGCTAAGCTACTATCTAGTCCCTTATAAGTAACTAAGTATTTTCTTCTTCTGATGTAGGTGTCCCAAAAATGCTGTACACAATTTGACGATGTTGAAAATGGCAATATTTTTAGCGTGTTATATAGTATGAATACTAAAAACGAACAAGACATTCACTTGCAGAGAATGATTGACTTAACAGAAGTTAAACAGCAACGAGCTTGTCAACCAGACGCTACATTGAAGAAACACTCATTCAAATATCATGTCCCTCTGGCAGGTAGGAATGTACCGGTTTGTAGGGAAGGATTCTTTAGACTCTACGATGTAAGTCACAAGCGTATCCGTCGCATTAGAAAACATCTCTTGGGAATCTGGCTGGAAAAACGCCACAAGATTTACGAGGAGATTTACGAAGAAACAGAAGTGGTAATAAAATATGTAAAAGTGCAACTGCCAAGGTACACAATCATATTATTTCCTTTCTAACAAAAAAAAAAGGGCATTATAAAGATGTTTTGTACCTAAGTGAATGTTTGTCAATTCAAAAATTCATGAACTATTCCGTGAAACGTATCCTGAAAGTAATATTAAATATAGTTTTACCATAAGTACTTTAAGGAAAACTTAATCTAATTTTAGATTTGGCCGGCCGCCTAGTAATACTTGTAACGTTTGCGAGGAAAAAATAAACGTATCAAAGGCCCTAGACTTAACGAAACTGCAAAAAAGGTTTCTGCAGCAGAACTAATGGTGCACAAACGTCGAGCTAAACGATTTTATTCATCATTGGCGAATTCTAAAGAATTATTAAAACAAAATGCTAACATTTTTGGTTTGGTTTTTTATTTTATGCAAAATGTAGATTTACCAAAAGTTCCAGTGCAAGAGACGTACTACCTTTGAACAGTTGACCGTGAACTATTTTTGTGTTTACAATTTAAAAACTGACAATACTCAATTTTACTTATATCACGAAGGCCAAGCAAAAAAAGGATGAAATGATGTAGCTTCTTTTGACAATTGTCCGGGTCAGAATAAAAATCATACTTTGATTCGGGTCCTGTTAACTCTTACTATCACCGGACGGTTCAAAACAATCAAACATTTCTTCCCTCTTAGAGGGCATTTATTCTTGCCTGTGATTGATAATGCTGCTTACTGCAGCATTCTTCAATTCTTGATGATGATGATGATGATGATGATGATAATGCTGCTTACTGCTATAGTAATTTAAAAGTTGATCCACAATCCATTCAGTTTCCTAAAGCACAAGCTTATAATTCTCGAATGCTACCTTGAAAGAAAGAAAAAATTGAGGACCTTAAGCAAGCTGTAAAGTACGTTCCCCATGAATTTGAAGATTTCTATGTAGATATTATAAATTTTTCAGAGCAGAATCATTAGAATGTAAGTGTTGATGCTTGTAGCAATGTTTAGTGTTTTAGCAATATATGCTGTAATGGGTTTTAATGTGTTATAATGTGGAACATGAAAATAAAATTTTTAATGGAGTGAGTCTGTAATTTTATTGCAGAAAGGTACCTAAGTACATAAAAAAAATTAATAATTTTTTTATAAATGAACAATATTATTAAATTGTTAAAAATTAGTTACCTTTCTGAAATAAGCTATTCATATACTGACGTCGCTACTAGAATGATAACATGAACAACCTAGAATTAATGAAGCGATACATAGAATTGGACACACCGGATCTAAACGAATAGATATAAGAAATTATAACTCGAAAACAGAAATGAAAGTACCTATCTAAGGTTATGCCCTCTGATGTTTAGAAATTAGTCAGATAGTGACAGTTAATGAATTTGGAATCCACAGTTTATTAAAGTTTGTTATTTTGAAATGTTAAATAATGTCTTATTTTTCACCTAACGACTATAAGTCTTGATGCATGTTTTGGAAAAATCATTACAAGTACGCCAATACAGCTTTTATTAAAGAAAAGATTAATACATACGCCTCTCTAGTTTGTAGTTTTTATAAAATGTTATTAAAAAATAGTTATAGGTTTTTCCGCACAAGTTCATTGTGAATAAAAATGTATTATATAGAGTTAACCAGCGTAAATAAAATATAACAAGTATGTAAATTTATGCAAAGTAAACAACAAACGATTTTGTTTGTCATAAGCTATTATTAAATATAAAGTAATTCGCTAATTGAATAGATAGATAAATTTAGATTACTGTCACGTTATAAAGGTAGTGTATAAAATTCATATGAAATCCCCCCGCAGTCTACTGAGTAGATCAAGTAACTCAGTGGACTGTTATCGGTGTTAAGCCCGGGTAAAGGAGGAGGATTATAACAATGGGCTAGCAACTCATTTTTCGCAAAAACTACATAATTTTTCGATCAACAACCTCAATTGACATTGAAGGCGGAAACTCAAGCTGCAGTACTTGGGACATATAAAGAGAAATCAAGGCAGATACGAGCTACTTCAATGAATTTTGCAAGGTAAAATTGAAGGAAAAAGGGCCCCAGGACGAAGAATATCCTGGCTTGCTAACCTGAGAGCATGGTATAGAAAGACCTCAACACAGCTATTTCGAATAGCAACCAACAAAGCTATCATAGCCAGAATGATCTCCAACAATCGGAACGGACAGGCACCCTAAGAAGAAGAACAACCTCGAAATCTGGACGGAACTACGGTATGAAGAAAGCTACGATGAGAATGACAACATGGAAGACTCAGGGTTTGAGAACCAAAGAAATGAAAGTATATGAAGAACTAAAAAATAATAAGGTAAATATACCTATGTGTCCTTACAGAACCAAAGAAAAAATGAAAAAAAAAATGAAAGAATGAGAATATATTTCTACAATGGAGTACGTAAAAGTTTTAGAGCAAAAAGGGAAGATTCTATAGCTATAAATTAAAAGGATAGGATGTTAAAAGCTGAAATGAGATAGACGAACAAATTACTAGAAATAGAAAAAAAATGGCCACGAAATAGTGATAGTATATTTAAAGTGTTGTAGCCACTATGGGCTGTTGGCCTACAAGATTAGGTCAAGCATGTCAGCTTTGAAATGACATAACTAATAACAAAATCTTTGGTTATACACATTTTTACATAATTTGTACAAAAAAGCCTGTTTTGACAACGATTTCCGGAGTGGAAATCGAAACGTCAGACAATAGTTAATTAAACATGTGATTTTCATTACAATCACAACCAATAATTGTAGCTTAATCCCATAAAAATCATAATATTTAACTTAACCATGCCACAAGAAAGTAGTTTCAGGACCTTGATAAACATACTTTTTATCTAGCATCATCGTCTTCCACTCATGAAACTAAAGACAAACCAGCTACCACCTGTTATTAAGAAAAGACACATGTTATTGTTATGTACGCTCTAGACTTAGTACATCGAAAAGAGATAGGTACAAAAAAGGCGCTTGAGGAAATTTTCAGATTTAAGTACAAATTGTGACATTTCTGGTTTGTTTACTTGTAAATGTCAGTTTGTTGGATATTTTGCTGTTTTTTGTCCTGTTTTTGCATTTAGAAGTTATTTATATTACATGAACAGTTGTGTTTTCACTACTAATTTTATATAGGAGTTTGAAATTTTATGTTAAGTTTATTTTATTTTGTCATTCATTTACATATAAAGTTACTCTCATTCACACAGTTAAGGAATGGTTTTGTTGAAGTTTACACAAAAGTGAAAGAAATGACAAAACGAAAACATTTTATTGGATTTTTTTAGATTATGCCTGGAAAAACTCTTAACTCAATCACAAGAACTCGTTTTAAATTTAATCGAGTACTTTGAATTAAGGACCGTTGGAACCTTTGTCATCTGTTCACAAGGTACAAGAAGTACAATTTTCAATGTGCACTATTATAAAGCTTTAATAATGACAAGCATATATAATATAATTATTTATTTGCCAACTTTATTACATAACAAAATATTTATAATTAGAAACTTTTTATTTTGGGTTTTTTCAATTTCAATTAAAAATATTGATAATATCATAACTTTGTTTTAGAGGGTAGCAGCTGCACTTAAATTTGCGAGAAAAACAGTATAAAATATATAAAAAAGAAAAGAAAAAAAAATCCTGATTGATCTTCTCCGAGAAAAATCAGACCTCGTTTAAAAAAACCAAAATTACTGATTTATCTGAGAACAATAAAATGGGGAATTTGAAATATAATATATCGTGGGTATACAGCAGAAACTGACCCAAGTCAATTTTTATCGATTTTTAGTTTATCAGTCCAAGTTAATCGAAAGAAGTAACCGAATACCTGGAAAAGTGCCCAAGTCAAAATTATAAGTTACAATGCCGCAACACATATAGAATGATCATGTTGACTTGGTCACTTTTGAAAATATGATTCATATTTCATATCGACATTGAACTGCGACAACTGGCTATTACGACTTGGGTCACTTTTTGATGTTTTAGTTTCAACTACACGTTGTATGTTTATTTGTTGAATGATCGCGTGTTGGAAAAAGAGATATAAGTTTATCTCCCATTTAGTCGAGAGGAAAGTTTTTAGTACAAATGTGTTTAGAAGAAGGTGATACAAGAAGATACAAGTTAATAATTTGTATGGATTTTTGTTGTTGATCATTTTGTTATTTTAAAATATAAAACTTATAATAATGAGATCAAATTCTAGTAACGGTTTCAGAACTATGGTCTTCTAAATCAACATCAAAACACGTTCCTATTTTACCAGCTGGAAGCAGCACTATCGAAGGTAAATATACATTTTAAAACTGATCTTTTTATCCTAAACTAATATTTTAATTAGGTTCACTCAATGCTACTCTAATGCAAGGATGTTCAACTACCTCAGCTGATAATGGAGAAGAGAGTACCAAACATTGTGAAGAATATAATAGCTCTATTGAGATGCGTAATATACTTGTGTCACCTGCGTTTGGGGAAAACGTCGTTGATAGTGGTTCAGATTTTTCTGCCGGCATTAGTGATAACTATCTTCTAAGTGATGATGAATGTTTATTAAATGTTAAATCAACTGATAGTGATTTGTACAAATGAAAACAAGAGTGTCGTTGGAGAAGAACTAATTTTTCCCAGTGGAAAAGAAATATTAAGATGAAAAATAGAATATAAAGTTTATCTTACAAATCCAAACGAACCGTCATTACAACAACAAAAAACAAAATTGATTAATTGGAACTCTTGTAAATTCAAATGCTCCCTTTGTTTTAATAATGATTTCAGAAACCAATTATGCTCGGAATTTTGGAGATAGACTATAATCGCCAAAAGTATTATATTCTCAGTTGTGTTGTCAGCAAAGAACCTGAAGTCTGAAGTACGGGCCATTACTTTGTTTACATATTTGTATACTAACTTGTGGAACGATATTCCTGAAGATTTTTTATTAAGATTACTTCTGCTACTGCAACTACGTTGAGAACAAGAAACCATTATTATGCACTATCACAATATATTACAGTTTCTATAAAAGTATTATAAAACTGAAAATATTCGAAAAACAACAAATATAACCAAACATATACGATCTGTCAAAAGTTTCAAAACAATAATACCAAAATGGCCGAAGTTAGGTCGTTTTTAGTCACGTGATGCCCTCTCCATAGATTCTAACTCGATGGCTTTAAATAAGTGTTTCCAAAAGTGGGGTCGCTATGAGGTACTAGGGGGGTCGCCGAACATTTCCAAAATAAGACAAAAGCACCACTTTGTTAGATCATGTATTTTTATTTTATTTATTTATTTATCATGTAACGCCTTAAATAGAAATTAACAATTAATTATCAGACGAAATATAAAACTAAATATTAAAGTCCGTAAAAATAAAAGAGTAAAACAAAGTCAAATATTATAATCTTATAGAGAGCTATGCGCCTGTTTCTGTGAAACTAATCTTTCAAATCTAGGCTGTGTATTTGAGACACACAATTATATCATTTTCAAGTACGAGACGATTTCTAACTCTTGTTTTAATGGCAGTCATAGACGAGAAACTTAACTCACACAAATATGATGTTACAAATGGAACCAAACATTTTACAGCTTCACTCGCCAACTGGGGGTATTCCTGCATCTTTTCGGTCCAAAATTGGTCCGAGTTCTGGGAAAAAAATTGGAGCTTCAACATTTCATCACTTGATATTTCAATAAGTTTTTCTTTCATGTTTATTGGTATTTCAACATGCTGAAAGGAATCAGCTAAAAACGGATTTAGTATCCATCTGCAACTGTCGTAACGGTTTTGAATTTCTTCGGGGAAATAATCACAGAGCTGTTGTTTTAAATTGAGCAAAGTAACATGCATGTCAGCAAAAACTTGTTCAAAATTTGTAGCACTGTAATTGGATACATTTTCCATAATTTCCTGAAGGTACTGGAATGAATTGAGTTGTTTTTTGCCAAGTGAGGTCGACCATAAATCGATTTTTCTTAGAAACGCCTTAATTTTATCTGTGGCTGTAATTATATTAATGTCGCGACCTTGTAAATTACTGTTCAAAATATTTAATTGCTCGAAAATATCAGCCAGGAAACCTAGTTTCAGAAGCCAAATGGGATCGGAAAATTTATTTTCATATGGGGACTTCTCATCTTTCAAATACATTATAAGCTCTGCTCTAAGTGAAATACTCTTTTTAAGACGTTGCCCCTTGAAAGTCACCTTACTTCGGTGTGATAGAGAAGATTTTCAAATAAAGCACCCATGTCTTCGCAATTTTTTCTAAAAATACGGGTCTGCAAAGCTTTTCCTTTAATGGAAGTTACAACTTTAATGATGGTTTTCATAACACAATCCATTTCAGGAGGTAAAGCTTTGGACGCAAGAGCTTCTCGATGTAAAAAACAATGTCTCCATTTGGCATTGGGCATTATTTCTTGTAATTTGACGACAAGACCAGATTTATGTCCTGTCATAGCTTTAGCGAAATCTGTGCATATAGCAATAAATTTACCCCAGTCAATATCATATTTACTTGTACGTTTCACAAAAGTGTCGAGTACACATTTTCCAGTGGTATTGGTCTCCAATGGGGAACAAAATAAAATATCTTCTTGAATGCCATTATTTGTATCATATCTTTCAAATGTAATGAATTGAGCACAGTTAGATATATCTGTGGATTCGTCCATTTGAAGAGAGAAGTACGTGCATTTATTAAGATTTTCCACAACTTGCGCTTGAATATCTTCTGCCATATCACTAATTCTTCTTTGGATAGTATTATTTGATAGAGGTACTGTATTTAATTTTGCAGCTTCTCTTTCCCCACACATTATATGTACCATTTTAACAGCTGCTGGAAAAATCAGATTTTCAGCAATTGTGTGCGGATTACTAGTTTTGGCAACACGATAAGCAACTTTATAACTAGCTAATAATGCTTTTTCATTAGTAGTGGTTACCAAGGGAAAACTGTCTTGCTGTTTGTGAAGGACGTTCAGCTTTCTTTCAAAGAATTCTACGGGCTTGTCTTTTTTATCTGGATGTTTGCTATTTAAATGTCGAAGTAACTTTGACAGCTTCATGCTTTCTTTTGACAAGACTTGTCCACAAATAACACATTGTGGTTTATTGGAAATAACGGTAAAACCATATTTAAGATATTCATCAATGTAGAATCTGTTTTTCTTTTTATTGCTGCTACTACCACTTTCAGACGTACATGATTCTGCACTTCTTTTTAAAAACTTATCCATAATTTATAATTTATCGTAGACGTAAATACGTAGAATATTTACTAATTACTCAACACCGCGTTCGCTACCATAGGCTGTTTGGATTCGAACTGAGGTTTCGTTGCGCATCGCCGCTTATATAAAGCCAAAACGAGGCTACGAGAACGTTCCAGAGTCCCATCTAGTAGCGAGCGCTTTCGCGATTATCATGGAAGAGTTTTGCGATGTAGACACAAGCTAATATGTCGCGGTGTACAATGTGCAGTCGACTTCTTATTATTTATTTTTATTGTAAATGCTATTCTGGCAGAAGTACCTACTACTAATTACTAGTGGGACAGATCGCAATCATTAAAATAATTGTATTAAAATAAAATAATTGTTTTTGATTTAAACTTAAACAGTAAAGTAAAATTAAATTTGATAAAAAATCAGATAATTGTAAATTAGGCACGCTATTTCTGTCATATAATATTGAATAAATGAGTGGAGGGAAATTGGGGGTCACGAACAAATTTTTTAGCAAAAAGGGGTCGCGGTTTAGATAAGTTTGGGAAACTTTGCTTTAAATGATGACGCACGGGTAAAGAACTATAGACTCAACTGTATATAGGGGCAGCGCACAACTAAGGACATCACAAGGGTCACTTGCTTTTACGTAACATCTGATCTTAAATAAACTATTTTTATGATACATATAAAAACATGATGATTTTTATGAATTTAAGGAAATCAGTGGTGTCATCGATAAATTTCATTTAGGTACAGCCAGAGCTCGTTTACAACAAAGCATTCAATACCCTGTATGTCAAAAAAAAGTTATCAAATATATTTAAACGAACTTTTAATCTTTAAATTAAATGACGAATTGCCCATAACAGTATTTCACATATTACTTAGGAAACACCCTGTATATTTTGTAGGATAAATGTGTTTGCTTTTAGAACATATTAAACGTATTAATGTGCACCGTTAAGAATAAAGAAACCACTAACTTAGATATGCTTGATTCATTCTTATTTATCTTGCTATAATTAGATTTCGAAAGTATTTTTAATTATTTGTGTTTGTTTATTATTTCCCACATATCTGACAAATTTTGTCAAATTATGTATGCCTCAATAGTATTCAATTTGATTATAAAGCTGCAAATAATATGCAGGAAATAAAAACACTATTATAACATCAATTAAGTTATGAAGAGGGGCCTAGATCTGACCCCGTTGATATTATTTCCGTTACATATTACTATATATAAAAGAGATTTTAGGCCACTCAAATTTTGACAAACAGTGTATGTTATAGGATAAGATACTAAGCATAAGATAAGTATAACGCAGCTTTACATAATGTTAATATATGTCACAGTAACCAAAATCAATTTAAAAAAAGTAATTACGAAGATCCAATAGAGAATAAACAATTTTCACAAAGATCTGCAACGGATATAACACAAGCAGGCGATGTGACTACAGAAGAGATGTTTAATTATTCCAACGATGATAGGCTACGAATGAGTCTAGAAGTTTACAAAACAAGTTCAAAACAAAATTCCCGAAGGCGTCAAAAGAGAAAGCATCGAGAAGGAATTCTCAAATAACACTGAAATGTGCAGTTTTTTTGAAAGAGTTGACCGCTTCAAATACCTTGGGTTAGCAGGACAATTGGAAACAAATGTTTCTACTTCCTGCAGAATATCATATAAACCAAATTAGTATCAACCAATTCAAAAATAAAAATATAAGCAACCGGACAAAAAACTGGAAAACCAACTTAGAATTAGAAGGGCTTACGAATACCTAAAAAAGATAAAAAGTGGGTATAAACCTCAAACAAGTATATGTAAAGATCAAAGTGGGCAAATAATCAGTGACCAACAGAAAGTCAAAGAAACCTGGAAGCATTATTTTCAGACCCTACTTGGTACGGTAGGCTTCTTCCAGGAAGAAAATGATTCGATGATATAATTTAAGATCTAGAAGAGTTAGTAATAAAAAAATGAAAATGATAAAGCAAGAGGGAAAATGGGCAACGAAAGACAAAATTAAAAATATAAAAAACAAAACATACCTCTATCATCAAGAATAAATAATAAGTAGGTAAAAAGAGGCAGAGATATATTATCCCTCATAGATGGGCAAGCCATGTATCAAGAGATATCGTAAAATATATTAAGATAGGACGTGTGAGGTTGATAGAGCATGTAATGCGGTTAGAACAAAATGGCGCTCCTTGACCCATTGGTCAGAAAGGAAGAGGAAGTTTGAGAATAAGGTCTCTTGATAACATGAATGAAGATATGAGAAATATGGGAGTATGTGCTTGGCGGAGAAAGGCGATCGATAGGGACGACTGGAAAG